AAAAAGCCGTAATGTTCCTAACAGAGTAGCTGCTTAATAACAGCAGCAAAGCGACCAAAAAGCCGTAATGTTCCTAACAGAGTAGCTGCTTAATAACAGCAGCAAAGCGACCAAAAAGCCGTAATGTTCCTAACAGAGTAGCTGCTTAATAACAGCAGCAAAGCGACCAAAAAGCCGTAATGTTCCTAACAGAGTAGTACAGATACACAGTACGTATTATATAACATGTTGGATAAATAGACATAGTTTATTGGTGATTTCATGTTCGTGGAAGTTTCCGCTTTTTAACAACTGTATAAAGTAATGTTATCTGTTACATAAATCAACTCAGGTGAAACAAAAATTGTACATTTTCAGCATTTGGCATGCCACTCACGATTATAGACTCGCACAGGAAATCTTACGGCAAATCTACATTATTCCATTATAAACCTAAAATAAGGCACGTCAAAAGTATATTTACACGGTTAAATACAAAAGCAGACTATTTACAAGGCAAGAATTATTACATATCTATGCAGAAATCTTGAATTGAATTGTACTGAATTAACTTGACAGTGAGATACTGATTACATGCAATGTTGATACAACCGATAGGCTACTTAAATATACATCACACTAAATAGTTAGACATTATGATCTTCCGGACCTTTGCTTCAAGAAATTTTCAGTAACTGGACCTCTTTAAATTTTAGCTGAATTCCCCTGCAATACAGCTATTAAACTAATTAGATTTTTTTAAATCCCGATATCGCAATATATATCGGAAAAAGAATAAATATTGCAATGTGATTTTTTTCCCCAATATCGTGCAGCCCTAGTTCCTATGTCTATGGTCCCTGTGTTTGTGGTCCCTTGTGTCTGTGACCTTGGCTTCTGTGGTCCCCTGTGTCCGTGACCTTGGCGTCCGTGGTCCCCTGTGTCTGTGACTTTGGCGTCCGTGGTCCCTTGTGTCCGTGACCTTGGCGTCCGTGGTCCCCTGTGTCTGTGACCTTGGCGTCCGTGGTCCCCTGTGTCTGTGACCTTGGCGTCCGTGGTCCCCTGTGTCTGTGACCTTGGCGTCCGTGGTCCCTTGTGTCCGTGACCTTGGCGTCCGTGGTCCCCTGTGTCTGTGACTTCTGATGCGGCCAATCTGCTGCTGTGCCCCCTTCTTTATTCTTCATTTCCCTGGGGATTCACACGTGTGCCTGTGATCTGCTTCAGCACCTCTCCTGCTTAAACACACACATAGGTGTGCAGGGTAACTGTCTGACTTCATCTAAGTTACACACACATCTCCACAGGGAGCTGCTGGGACCTATAGGTTCTATGAGGCCTACGGGCTGATGTCTGAGCCTACTAGAAGCACTCCCAGCATGTGCATTGGAGGAAATGCATCTTCTCTGACAGGATTAGCTGGAGGCATGGATGGCCATTCCCTGGATATTTTTAGTTTATCATGTTTTAGTGCTTCCTCCATATCCTTGGTGTTGAAGGTTCTTCTCAGTTTGCATGAATGTAGTTTGTCCCCTTCCGACAGAGTCACAGGAAGAGTGGAGTGCTTGCACAATG